TGTGAGCCCACTTTCTGTCCTGGGGCCACCTTTGCATTTGTGGTGTGGGCAGAGGCAGCAGCACCAATGCCTGGGGCCAGGCTGCCTCTGCCCACCCCTGAGAGGGACACTGGGCTTCCCTGGGAGCCTCAGGATGGGAACACGTGTGACAAACCCCCCTGTGACCACGGCAAACAGCCCTTGGCGTGCATTCAGCCAGACCTCAAACACAGGGCAGGACAAATCTGTTATCAGCAAACCACACAGCATTCATGGCTTTGGGTTCCTCTCTGCAGCATTCTTGGCTTTGGGTTCCTCTCTGCAGGGCTGCATTTCAGGACTGCCTGGGACTCACTGAGGTTATTTTTGCTGCTGAAATCCCACATCCAGATCCAGCAAGAAGTGCCACCTCCCCTGGGACAGCACAGAAGGGACAGCCCAGCCCAGGGTGGCTGCGGGGAAACCAGCTGGGACCTTGAAGAGCAAATCTTGGAGAGATGAGTTTGGATTTTCAGTAACAGACCAAGAACAAAGCCCCTGACAGCTGCCCAGCTCTCCCAGTCCTTCATTGGCACCAGTCCCCATCGACAGAAAGGAGCCAAAAGGGAATTCAAGAGCTGCCTCAGGAGAGGCCTGGATGCTGCAAATGAACTTCAGGATAATTCTCTACAGAGCTGACTTTAAGCCAAAATAAGGAGAAACTGGAGAAACTGCAGGATGCCTTTGTGTTGTTCATGTTGTTTAGTAGACTTAAAAAATAATAATTTTTAAAATGTTGAAAAAAATTGTTGAAATTATTTTTAAAAATTTGTTGAAATTCCTCAGCCACCACAGTTTGTGCAGGACTCTCTCCTGAGCCATCCTCAGCACCTTTGGAATCCCATGGGCAATGCTCCAGATTCACTCTGTGTCAGCTCACAGCCCCACAGAGCTGAGGAAACTCTGCCCCTTTGCCTTCCAAGTATCCAGAGTGTGTGCTCACCCTTTCTCACTGTGTGAAACATCTCCTTCAGCCTCCCTGTGCCTCACTGAGCCTCTCCCCATCAGCAGAAAGCTGGGATTTATTACAGCTGATGTGCTGAGCTGGGGAGGGCAGGGGGGGCAGCCAAAATCCCAGAGGAAGCCTCACTTGACAATGTCTCTTTCCTACACTTCCTCACAGCGGCTCCGTGGGGGATGACCAACGGTGGAAAAATGTTGCTCATGTCCCGGGACAAGAATGATGATTATTTGCTGGGCTGCCATCCACCACGGGGAATTCTAGCCCGTGACATCACCCCATTGTTCCTGCTGGTGCCAAGAGCACGCTGGGATCCCGACTGCTCAATGGTTAAAGGCCTTTCCTGTTTGCTCACTCCTTGTTTCCAAACAGTGCCGCTCGCTCGCGAGGGCCGCACGGGATGTCTCCTGTCCTGGGCTGCTTTGTCCCTTTCGTCATGTCTGCCTGGAACTCCTCACAGTGACATGAACAATGTACTCCCGCAGTCAGAAACAAAAGGGAAAAAATAACTGCAGGAGGCAAAGCCCATCTTTGGTGTTCAGGACCCCGTGCACGCCTTTGTTCCTTCTTTGGGAGCTGTGTTTGTGCAGCACGGCCCGGCCCTCCTCCAGCCCTGTTGTTTTTCTTTGTGATTTTAGTGTGGTGATAGTGCCAGGAGGGTTGGCCTTGGGAACCTGGCTCCTGATCCTTATCAGGGGAACAGCGAGGACAGTGGCAGGAGCTGTGCAGGTTCTCTGTGCTCCGGGGGTCAAGCAGAGCCACAGCTCCCAGTGTCCCCCAGCACACAGCATGAGGGGACCCAACATCTGTGGGTTTGGGGCACCACAATATGAGATCTAAAGGTGTTTGAGGGTGCCTAAAAGTGGTCAAGGGTCTGGAGGGACTGCAGGAGGAGCAGCTGAGGGCTCTTGGTGTGTGCAGCTGGAGCAGGGCACAGTGAGGGCAGAGCTCAGGGATCTGCAGCTCCTCCCGAGGGGCAGCTCCCATCTCTGCTCTGGGACAGGGACAGCAGCCAGGGCACGGCTGGAGCTGGGCCAGGGCAGCTCACACTGGAGATCAGGGCAAGGTTCTTCCCCCAGAGGCTGCTGGCACTGCCCAGGCTCCCCAGGGAATGGGCACGGCCCCGAGGCTGCCAGAGCTGCAGGGATGCCCAGGGTGGGGTTGCTGGGGGGTCTGGGCAGGGTTGCAGCAGGGCTGGATGATTCTTGTGGGTTCCTTCTAGCTCAGGATGATCCATGACTCAATGTAAACCAAGCAGGTCCTCTTGGAACCACCACAGACACCAGAATAATCACTGAACCATGGAATCACTATGGTTGGAAAAGACCTCCAAGCTCATTGAGTCCCCTCCACTCCGTGGGATGTGTTTGGTGCTGAAGCAGCTGCTTCACCTTCTGTCTGGGCATTCTCCCTCACAAGCCCTAAAGGCAAAATATCTTTATAAAGTATGGTTTTTTCCATGGGAGCTCTTTAGCTGTGGACAAAGCTCTCAGAGCTGGGTCAGTTCAAAGCTGGTTCAGAGCCAACCCCACCTCATCTCTGCAGGGTTCCCTGCAAGAACCAGAGGCATTCATCCCTAGCCCCACATCATTTGGGATTTTTGAAGCTCTGGTGCCAAACATCCCAAGGTGCAGCTCAGGTTGGTGCCTGCTCAACACAGGAGGGCTTTTCCTGGAGAAAAACCAGGAATTCAGGTTCCCTTCCACTGAGACGGATGAGCACGAGGGTGTAACATTTGCTCCATTTTCAGTCTGGTGGGATTTATGGGAAATGAAGACAACAATTGAGAAATCCTTGGATGAAAGGCCTGGTTTGTGAAGATGTTTTTGCACCTGGCATGACAGGCAGACAGCAGCAGACATCTGGGCACTTCCAGCCACAGGCAGATTGCAGACAGGTACGTGGAGCTCCAGGTGCTCCTTGGAAACATGAGCTGGGTGACAGAGCCCCGGCCACAAAAGGTGGAGGAAATTCCTTGAACCCAGATGCCCAGAATCTGGGGTTGGCTTGAGGCTGTGGTTCCTTGCCCGAGGCAGGAGCTCTGGGTGTGACAGGGCTGATCCCTTCGGCAAACCAACCCCGCCGAGTGGCAGCGCCGCGGCTCCGTCCCAGCCCTCACCGGCAGCACCCCTTCAAAGACAGCGCCCTTTTTTGTATTAAATGATGTCATTTACTGGCCAGCCTCCCCTCGGGGCGAGCAAACACGGCTGCGTTGCCTTCCCCACGTCGAGGGGATCGTCTTTCAGCCCGCAGTGACCAGGATGAGGAGCGCAGGAACGGGAGCCAAGGCAGATTTATTGTATCACTGGGCTGGCATCTGGAATGTCACACAGAACTCTGACATAACTCTGAAACTTGGCACAGCTGGAATATGGGCAGTAACAGGTAATGCTGCTTTTGTGTTTCCCTGTTTTCTTTAGAATAATTGTTGCATTGGGACAGAGGTTAAACACTTCCCTCTGTTTGCTTTGTTTTATGATCTCTCTTTATTTTCTTATTAATTTATCATTTGCACTCTTCCTGATTTTCTTTGTCTGACACATCCCCTACTCTGTTATTTCCATGGCATGCCCATACATACATTTTTCATCCCCTCTGGCCTCCGTGCCCCCTCACTTCATGCCCTCTGTGCTCCCCTGTGCAGTTTCTTTGCTCCCGCTGTTTTTTCCTGCACACACCCCCTGTGTGCATTTTGCATGAGCACAGAGAGGAATTCCCACTGCTGCTTGGACCGAGGGAATGTCAAACCCTCCAGACTTTTCCTGCAGGAGTGCAGTCATCACCTGTGTTGCTTCCATGAGCTGCTGTGAGCAGAAGGTCTAGCTCAGGAGATGTTTTCCTCACTCTCCCTCCCTGCACTTTTCCTTATTTCCCTTTCCTTTCCCACACGCACGTGTTCCTGTGCATGAGACCTCACTGTGGCTGCAATTGCCACCACCTTGCCCATGACAACAGGGCCATAAAAGCTGAACTGCGCATGGTAAACAAATAAAATACACTCCCTTTCTCAATAAGCTTTAGAGAACCTCTTGCAAAAAGGCAAAGGCAATGATTTCGCTTTTCCAAACTGCTCACAGGATTTGCCTGAGATTTGCCATGCTTGAATCTGCCATGCCAAGCTGGATCAATGATTTCGCTTTTCCAAACTGCTCACAGGATTTGCCTGAGATTTGCCATGCCTGAAGTTGCCATTCCAAGCTGGATCTTGGTGGTCCCAAGGAATTCAGGGTGCCTGGAAGCTGTGATCCATCCCTGGCATGCTCAGGACACAACACTTCCCCGGAGGAATTTCCTGCTTCTGCCTGACACACCGCGGCCAAGGTGAAAGGCTTTGACTCCTCCTGGTGCATGCCAGGAGGTGACTGTGCTTCACATGATTCGCATCCTAAAAATGTGCAGATAATGCCGAATGTGCCACATGGATGCCGAAGCGAAATTAGATGGTGCACGGCCAGTTTATTGCAAGAAACTTTAATTGCTCAAAGTAGCAAAAGTCTTAAAGTTGATTTAGAGGAAAAAATAGAGGAGAGACAGAGAAAGCCAAGACTGTCGTTGCACCAACTGAGCAGCAATTTCAAGGGAGCTTATCAATTTACATTTTTATTAAAATAAAGCAAGTTAAATTAAGACATTTCAAGTGAAAACTTGACTTTGATCTTGAATCCTGCCCAGTTTGTGCAGTTTAAAGCATCCCCCGGGGCCGGGGGAGGTGCGGGGGGCTCCCAGGGGGACACTGCCTGCAGCCCCCGCTGTGCTCGCTGCCTCACCCGCATCCCCAGCCCCGCTCGGGGCACGCTCCGCACACGGTCCCGCCTCACCGCATCCCGCCCCGGGGACTTTTCCCACTCCCCGGCACTTTCTCCCCGGAGCTGCCCAGGCAGAGGAACGCGAGGAGTCCTGCAGGGAGGAGCGGGGGGTCCGCGCCCGCCCCACGCGAGCCCGGCGTTCCCCGGGGGCGGAGCGGGTGACGCGCCGGGCCGGGGCTATAAAGCACCTGCCGGGCGCCCGCCGGCTCCAGACGCAGCGCGGCGGCTCCGCTGGAAGAGCTGGCACGGGAGGAAAAGGAGGAAAAGCCCAGCAGAAGCCCCAAAGCCGCCAGCGCAGAGCCGCGGTCATGGGCAGCCACCCCGCCGTGCTGCTGGCGCTCGCCCTCTGCGCCCTGCTGGAAGCCGGTGAGCCCCGGGCTGGAGCGGGGCTCGGTGCCCCGGGGGTGCCCGCAGGGGAGGGGGGACCCCCTGCGTCCCCTCGGCGCGGGGAGGGGGCCGGGGGTGCCCGGGGGGACGCGGAGAGTTCGGGCGCGGTGCGGGACCCTCGCTCCGGGGAGCCCCCGGGGCTGTGCGGGTCCCGCCGGCACCGCGACATCGCCGCGACCCGCAGGGGGGACACACGGACGGGACCCTCAGGGGGGACACACGGACCCCGCTCATCGCTCCCTCCCTGTGCTGCTCGCTGCAGGTCTGGGCCATCCCCCGGCGGAGTCGCACCTGGCCGCGCGGCCGAGGAGCAAGCGATGTTCCTGCAACAGCTGGCTGGATAAGGAATGCATCTACTTCTGTCACCTGGACATCATCTGGGTCAACACACCTGGGTGAGCAGAGCGCGGCGCTCGGGGTGCTCTGCTGATGGGCAGGGGCTGTACCTTCTGCTGCAGGAGGGTGGGAGAGGCTCCCGGTGCTCTGCAGCTCTGGCAGCACCTGCTCCGAGGTGCCCGGCCAGCCCAGAAGGGGACAAACTGTGCTGCTGCTGCTCAGGTGCTTGTCCAACCCCCGCACAGGGCGCTGCTTCCTCCCGGACTCGGCTTTTCCTGAGGTTTGCACCTCTGCGAGCCCGCAGCAACACCGAGATGTTGTGGCTGCGAGTCAGAAAAGTTGCTCTCCCCGCTCGCACGCGTAACCCTGGCTGCTGCCTGCCAGTATTGTTAATGAGACAGTGGTGGGCTGGCACTGCGGGCCGCGGCTGCCAAGTCCTGCCCTCAGGAATGCTGGAGCAGCTTTCCCAGCGCTTTCAGACCAATGGCCATCGCACTGGAGCACAACACACGCGCTCAGGTGTGGTTATAATCGTGCTCGCTGACATGCATTTACAACTCGCTGCTTGCTCGGGGAATAGTTGGAGTCGCTGCCAATCCTGCAGCCTCTGGGAGAGGAGATTGCCATCAGAGATGGAGCAGGAGCGTGCTCGCAGCTCTGGGAGCAGGCTGGCAGCACCAGAACCTGCTCTGGCCCCGAGACTCCTGGGGCTGTGCAGTGTCCTGTGTGTTAAACCTGCGGGGAAGGAGAGCGCTGACCCCTCAGCTGTGCCAGGGCTGCTGGGCTGGGCCAGCCCTGCTGCTCAGGAGCTGTGCCACCCATGGGAGCCGCCAGCTCGCCCAGCCCGTGTGGCAACCCTTGCAGGGCACCTGGGCTCCTGCAAGGAGAGAAAACTCCCGCTCCCAGCCAGCACAGAGCGGCCATCCCGGCAGGGAAGGGTGGGGTGGGGAACACCATAGGTGGGAGAGGGGCTGGAGTTTAAAGCTCAGACCTATCAGTGACCTTTTCACCTTCTGTCTGTAGATGAGTCTTTTATTATCCTGGCACTGGCTTGGCTGCCTCCCAGCACCCTGGTACAAACCTGCTGGCCAATAAAAAGCTGGTGGCATAGCTGAATTCCTTTGTTTTTCCCAGGCACACCGCTCCCTACGGCTTGGGCAGCCCGCCAAGGCGGCGCAAGAGGTCCGCGGGCAGGTGCGAGTGCTCGCACTCCAGGGACAGCATCTGTGCCACCTTCTGCCAGGGCAGGCCTGGGTAAGCCTGGGGGTGTCCCTGGGGGGCTGCTCAGGGGGCTGAGACAGGCAGGGCTCAGGAGCTCCCTGGGGGTGGCTCTTTGCCAGCAGTTGGGACTTGTCTGGTGGCTTTTTTCGCTCCCTCCCGAGAACCCTGGTGGTGTCACCGGTGGTTTGGGTGCACAAGGGTCCCTTCAGCAGCTGAGAGGCAGCAGTGGCACCTCCATCCCTGCTGCTGCTGCCAGGAGGCTGGGGAAGCTCTGGGTGTGCTGGTGGGAAGGGGGACCTGGTGGGGATGGGACAAGTGACAGTGTGGAGCTTTGGGACACCAGCGTGTCCTGCTCAGAAGGGAAAGCTGACAGTGCTCTGGGTATGGGGACAAGTGAGAGTGTGGAGCTTTAGCACACCAGTGTCCCCTGCTCAGAAGGGAAAGCTGGCAGCACCCTGGGAGTGGGGACAAGTGAGGGTGTGGATTTTTGGGACACCAGTGTCCCCTGCATTGCTCAGAGGGGAGCACAGCAGGCTGATCCAAGCTGGGACTCAGCCCAGATGTCCCGTGGCCACCTCTGTTTACGGTGCATGTGGGTGTCAGTTCAGCTCCAGCAGCGCTGCTGAAGGGAGGTGGAGCTGCTGTGGATATCTGTCATTAATTCCAGGCAATAGTTACAATCCCCAATCGTTCATTTTGCCTGTGAATAGAGGAGCTCTGGCACGAGGGAATAGCAGTCAAAATCAGCCCTGAATAGCTCCCAAATAGCTGCAATTAACCCTTCAAAGCCGTGCATTCAGCTGTCTGTCACCGGGCCAGGCCCCCCCTGAGCTCCCCACAGCCTGGCTGTGGGTGGCTGAGACTTCTCCTCTTGCTCTTTAGGTACCTCCAGAGCCTGAAGCTGCCCATGAGCTCCGGAGCATCAGCGAGGTCTCTGCAGAGTGGTGCCACGAGGCCTCCCCATCGTGGGTTGCTGAGAGCTCTCAGGTGAGCAGGGCACCTAAACCCACTCTGAACGTTCCTCAATGGCACTTCAAGATGTGTGGTTGTGGCCCCAGGCTGCAGTTCCCACTCGGATCTGACCTTCTGCCTCCTCCCGTCTCCTCTAAACGAGGGGGCTTGGCTGTTTCTGCTCTCTGTGGCACTGAAGGCTCCATCTGAGGAGCCAGGGCTGCCTGTGCCCTTCCCAATGGGGCAGTGCCACACAAAATGTAATTCTTGGTTGGGGCAGGGAGTTCCTCTGTGGGACAGGCAGGTGGATGATGGACAGAGGAGGGAGAGGCAGATGGCGTTGTGTAGGAAGATAATTTATGGGGCAGCAACTTTGGACCAAAGGACAGAGCTTTTCTAAGCCCACAGCAGGGAGAAACAACAACTCCAGGAGTGTAACTGAGCTAAAGGGAGGTGGCAAATCCATTAATTGATGGCAATTAAACCAGAGGCAATGGGGACGCTTTCTGAAATACACATTTGGGGAGCCAGCACTTTGGGTCATCCTTGAATCCTCTGACACCTCGTTGGGTTGGATGGAGCTCCACTGTGCCTTAAGGCAGCTGTGGACAGCAATTTCTGCTCCTCCTTCCCCATCTCCTGCCTCCCAGCAAACAGTGGTGAGGGGTAGATAAATGTGATAATATGGGGTACTGAGTAGGGGGCAGATGGGCTGGAGAGTGACCACAGTGTCCCTTCTGTCCCCAGGGACCTCAGGGTCTCCAGCCCGCGCTCCAGCAAACACCAGCAGCACTCACGGAAGGACACACAGCCACCAGCTCTGCCTTGGGAGAAAAACATCTGGAAGAAGAAGAGATAAGAGACAGGTGCACACCAAGCTCACCAGAAGAATTTGGAGTCCTGTGGGTGCCACCAGCTCTGCTGTCGGTTGTTAGAGCTGAAGGGAAGGCCGTGAGTGGAAGGGAAGGAGGTGGAAGTCTCTGTGTTCCTGCTGCATCAACCAGCGCTCAAGGGACCGCTGCAAAGGGAAAAACTGTCCCTCCATCCAGTCAGAGAAGTGTCCTGGAGCTGAATTGTGCCTTTTTGGATCAGGCGAGGGTCGTGCTGGAGCAGCACCAGCTGGACTGTGCCCTGGAGCCCTCGGCAGGGGCTCAGCCAGGGGTTCTGGGCAGGGCTGGACCAGGCAGCACCGAGCCCGACACTGCCCTGGGCTGCTCTGCCTGGAGCTGTGCAAGCCTGGCCCATCCAGAGGGGTTTGGCCACTCTCTGCAGTCAGGGAGGAGCTGCCTCAGCCCCAGCCCACCTTTGCACTATTTTCTCCTGTCAGTCAGTGCCCGTGGACAAGGCTCGCAGTTTGTATTAGAGTTTATTCCATCAGCACCTGGAGCCAGCTGAGCAGTCAGGGGCACTCCCTGGCTGGGAAATCTCTGGGGTGGATTTCCACGAGGCCCTGGCTGTGGCTGAGGTGCAGGATCAGTTACCCCAGGGATGGCCTCAAACCCTGGGGTGTGGCTGCTGTGGGGCTGGGCTTGTGCAGGAGCCCCCAGGCCCACAGCCAGGGCAGGGTGAGCAGAGCCCTGGTGTGGGTCAGTGACCCCATCTCAGCTCCTTGGACATACCCTCAGTGAGCACTGAGCTCCTGAGTATCCCAACCTTCTCTCAGCTGGATGAGGGCACACACAGCCTGGCTTGCTGCTTGGCTTAGGTCAGCTCTGAGTGGGGCTCTGGACGGTAAATGAGCACTCAGGGCTGGCAGGTCACCGGGCAAAGGGAATGCAGCAGGTGAGGGACAGCCAGCTGGGAATAATGAGGAGAGAAGGGCTGGTTGGAATAGGGGCTGGAACTGGCTGATCTCTAAGGTCCCTTCCAACCCAAACCCCTGTGATGCTGTAAAGAGCACAGCCCTGCTGAGCTTAGGCTCAGGTTTAAACCCAGATCTGCTGGCCCAGGGGAGGGAAGGAAAAATTTGAGAAAACCACTGAGCCCAGGACCTGGAAGCCAACCTGGCAGGCCAAGGCAGCCCCAGGGCCCCGGAGCTGTGCCACAAATGCACTTTTGTTTGCCTGGGCAGACTGAGCTCTGCAGAGAGCCAGGGCTGTCACCTGGGCAGGGCAGGTAAAAAGCTGCTCTCCACTGCTGGGTCCCTCTGCTGCCCACGCCAGGATTGCACAGGAGCTTTGGAAGGGCTGCTAGAAGTTGGTGGTGGACCAAAATCTGTGGCTGTTGCAAGTGTAGTCCCGATGGACAAGAAAAAGAATTCCTTGATTTTGCTTTAAGCCCCAGAGAGGGGAAAAATAAGACCAATTGATTGTATTGTGATGAAACAGCAGATTAATCATTTGGTCCCCAAAGCTGCAGAAAATCTGTTTTAATCTTTGACCTTCTGAAGGTTGGAGTCACTCTAAAAAACCAAAAGAAGAAAATCCTGAAAGGGTTTGTTCCAGAGGAAATTTTGCACATGGTTTAATGTGAGTAATTTAAAATAAAAATACTGCTGTAAAGTACTCTGTCAGTCTCCTCGTGTGTGTAATGTCCCATCCTTGAGTGACTTACTGCACACCTGTCATATGTAGCATCTGAAATCTGTATATTTATTTAAATCTATTGATTTTTTTTAGACAGTAATTTTCAGTGTATAATTTGTAATAAATAATGACAACAGTCAGTGGTACTTTCCTTCCTCATTTGGTGGCTGGGGGGTGGTGGGTGAGATGAAAGGAATCCAAAAGAAATTGGGAGGCTGGGAATGGTCCTGGGCACATTTCAGTTCCAAGTGAACCCATCTAGAATCCTTCTGGCTGACTCAAACACTCCTCAACCAACGCCTTCTTCCTTCCTGGATTTCTCTGGCAGCAGGGATGGGGAGTTATCCCCAGGTTTGTGGATGTGGGACCAGTTTGGATCCTGAGGGATCCTGGTGGTGTTTGCCCATGGTGGAGTCCAGTCCTTCCCAGCCCTGAGCTTTAGATCTGTGAAGGGATCCGTTTGTGGATGTGGGACCAGTTTGGATCCTGAGGGATCCTGGTGGTGTTTGCCCATGGTGGAGTCCAGTCCTTCCCAGCCCTGTGGCTATAGGGTCAGCAGGGCAGGGACTGAGCTTTAGATCTGGGAAGGGATCCTATTTTTATTTTTATTTTATTATTATTACTATCCCATCTAGAATTAATAATTTATTATTATTATTATTATCCCATCTAGAAACCATCTGGCTGACTTAAACATTCCTTATCTTCAACAGATTATCCCATCTATTATTATTATCCCATCTAGGTGGATCCTGTTATTATTTATTATTATTGCTATTATTATTGTTATTATTAATATTTCAGTTATAAGGCCATCACCTAGAGGATGATGTGAAGATGCTGAAGGCTCAGGAGGGGCCCCAGCCTTTCCGATTCCCTGATTTTCCTGATTGAGCTGCCTCTCCCATGGCCAAGCCTCCACCCCAGGGCTTGGTGTGAAAACCAGAGTCCTTCATATGCTCCTGTGACAATAAATCAATGCTCCTGGAAATTTAATGGTAAAGGTACAGGATAAAAAGGAGCTGGAATTACAGGTAAAGGGGGGAAAACCTTGGAACACTGCAAATTCCCCATGTGATATGTACAATATCCATGGTGGAGTTCTCCCCTCTTCTGCCCAGCTGAGCCCCAGAACAGGCCTGGGATTGTTTCCATTCTGGTTCATTCCACGGCCCCTGCTGGGGCTGACTGCAGTGGTGTGAACGGGGAAAATGAGGATTTTCTGCATTTCCCAGGAGACATTTCCCCATCTCTGCAATGCCCACTGAGCCAGCCCTGGGATTTTATTTGTTCTGCTGAAGTCCCAAAGGAACTTTGGCTAGATCTTGGTCCCAGAGGGGAAATATCCCTGTGTGGGATGCTCAGAGCTCCAGGCACCAGGGGAACCCCACATTTTGGGAGGTGGGACCACAGGAGATGCTCTCCAGCTCTGCCACAGTGCCGGGTCTTGGAGCAAAGAGGGAAATCTGAAATAATCATTGAGGGGGGCGGGGCTGAGAGTTTTTTGGGCCTTAAGATCAATTAACAGAGGACATTTTGACATAGGAATAACAGGAAATATTCCAGGGAGGTTCCCCCACATTCAAGTGGGGAAACTTTGGACCCAGCATTGAGAAACAGAGAAAGAAATCCTAAAAAGTGCCCTGATCCCAAAAGCTCAGCAGAGCTCCTTGCTGGGATGTCCTACAATGCCCCTCAGTGCCACCAAGGACTGAGGGACAACCTGAGCCTGGCAGGAGCCCCTGGTGGGGCTGGACTGATGCCAACCTCTGAGCAAAGCCTTGGGCACAGATCTAATTACCAGCCCTAATTAGGGAACACCCGAGGGAAGAAGATGCTGAAGAGCATCTTAATTAGGGTGAGAAGGGATAAGAGAGGACTTTGCTTGTTCTTGAGTTATTGAATTTGCTGATAAAGATTAGCTGAAGGAGGCTGAAGGAGGCGTATTTTATTAATTCTCACAGGTAACAGGAAAGAGCAGAATAATAAAACTTCATTTAAGTGGAAAATCCAGGGAATCAGGCAACTTCCAAAGGCAGCTCTGAGTATAGAGATGGAGCATTTTTAATAAGATCCAGCTTTTTCCTAATGACAATTCCCATTCAAATGGACACCTTGTGCCCTGAATGCAACTCTCCTATTCTTCAGGAATTCCTGGAAAAACCCCTTTCCTGATGGTCCACAGGCAGCAAACTTCCCTCCTGCATTGTGGGACGGCAATTTTTATTTTTTTTTTAAATGGGACTTTGCTCCCTTTTAGTATCCGTTGAACTGGTTCTGCCCGGGAGAAGATGTGGTGACATAAAATAAGGTGAAGTTGGAAGAAGCAGCCCCAAACCTGTGGAGGAGGCTCTGACAGGCCACCAGGAGATTTTGCAGGTAGATTTTACCACAGAAACGGCTTTTGGTGATTTTTGGCTTCTCATCTCAGGTGGGCAGGGAGAGGAGGAGAAAACTGAAATGGTCGCAGCCACATTAAAGGATGACACAGTTTAAAATTGCTTTAATTAACCGTGCTGAGTAACGAATGAGCTCCAGGTAAGCACATCCTGCATGAAACTCTCTGTCCCCTGTGCTGGGGACAGGGAGGGAGCTGCCACTGGCTCAGCCTGTGCTGGGAATTGTCATTGCTGAGTGCCTCTGGAAGCACAGCCTGGAAAACAGGCTGTGAACACCTTGCTGAGCATCTGTCCCTGTGAATTAGTGGAAAAACACCTCAAGGGCTGTGTTCTGAAGGGGGGAATTACAAAGCTGATGTGGGAGACTTTCCCAGATTCTGGGATCTCCTTTTGCCTGCGGTGGGTCCGTTCTGACAACAGCCACAACTCAGAGCCCCCACAGAGGCTGGAAAATGTAACTGGGAATTGGGATAGCCCTACAGAGCTGGAAAATCCAGCTGGGAATTGGGAGAGCCCCCACAGAGGATGGAAAATCCAACTGGGAATTGGGAGAGCCCCCACAGAGGCTGGAAAATCCAACTGGGAATTGGAAGAGCCCCCACAGAGGCTGGAAAATCCAGCTGGGAATTGGGAGAGCCCCCACAGAGGCTGGAAAATCCAACTGGGAATTGGGAGAGCCCCCACAGAGCTGGAAAATCCTCTCCCATGTCCCTCCAAAGACAGGGATGTCCCCTTGGCACATCCGTTCATTCTGGCCCCATTATCTGCAGTACGTGGTACCCAAAAAGTCACCCAGAAGCTTTTTTGGTTCTAATCCATGAAAATCTCCACACTTTCATTCCAGCAATGATACTGCAGCAGTTTAGAGAGGATCTGGGGTGGGGAATGAGCCCCTCCCCAGCGATTCGATGGCAAACCCGAGGTGCTGCTCTGTGACTTTGTTGTTAAAAGGGAATAATTCTCCCTCCAGCTCCGTTGCAGGGGGGGAGAAGGAGGGAGCACACACGGAGCAATTAAGAAAAATGTCTTTGACCTTCAGCAACTTAATCAGTTGCCAGTGTTCTTCCTAATAGTGTGCTAATGGTTAAGTTCTTCTGGCTGCCATAAAAAGTGCTATAACTGGAGGCTACAATAAAGTGCTGATCAACCCATCAAGTGAGTCAATCCAAAAGTAATATCTGTCTTTGTAATGACTGTAATAAAAGCCATGCCAAAGCCAGGAGATGACGTGAATAAGAATGCTGCTTAATTATGCTGGGCTGCTCTGCTGGGTGCTTGTGCCACACTGCCAACCTGCTCTGGGGTGACACTGCCACCCCTGCGTGGGGGAGCCAAACTTTCTGTTTGTGTGGCCTCCAAGGACAGTCCTGAGGGGTTTGGACAGATCTCCAGCCAAGCCAAGCAGAGTTTTTGTGGATAAAAAGGTGTTGAATTTGGGCTGGGGCTTCTCATCCTGACAAAATGCAGGAGGGAGGCATCACTGTGATTCCCTCTGGAGAGATTGGGGCTGGGGAAAGGGGAAAAGGGGGAAAAGGGGAAAAGGGAAAAGGGGGAAAAGGGAAAAAGGGAAAGGTACCCTGTGTTAAAAAGGGATTGATGACAGGAAGTTTGTAATGACTGTAATAAAAGCCATGCCAAAGCCAGGAGATGACGTGAATAAGAATGCTGCTTAATTATGCTGGGCTGCTCTGCTGGGTGCTTGTGCCACACTGCCAACCTGCTCTGGGGTGACACTGCCACCCCTGCGTGGGGGAGCCAAACTTTCTGTTTGTGTGGCCTCCAAGGACAGTCCTGAGGGGTTTGGACAGATCTCCAGCCAAGCCAAGCAGAGTTTTTGTGGATAAAAAGGTGTTGAATTTGGGCTGGGGCTTCTCATCCTGACAAAATGCAGGAGGGAGGCATCACTGTGATTCCCTCTGGAGAGGTGGGGCTGGGGAAAGGGGAAAAGGGAAAAAGGGAACATGTACACTGTGCTAAAAAGGGATTGATGACAGGAAGCAGAAAGAAGGGAAAGCCAGGATCAGTCAGGGAGATCCTTCTAGGCACTGGGGTGGACCTGAGGGGCTGACTGGAAAATCCAACTGGGAGTTGGGAAGTTGGGAAGTTGTTGCTTTCCATGGCAAACACCCATTCCTGAGTGTTTGCCATGGAAGGCAGTGACCAAGTTCCCTCTGAAGAGATGGGGGCTGGGAAAAGGGGAAAAGGGGGAAAAGGGGAAAAGGGAAAAGGGGGAAAAGGGAAAAAGGGAAAGGTACCCTGTGTTAAAAAGGGATTGATGACAGGAAGCAGAAAGAAGGGAAAGCCAGGATCAGTCAGGGAGATCCTTCTAGGCACTGGGGTGGACCTGAGGGGCTGACTGGAAAATCCAACTGGGAGTTGGGAAGTTGGGAAGTTGTTGCTTTCCATGGCAAACACCCATTCCTGAGTGTTTGCCATGGAAGGCAGTGACCAAGTGTCCTCCAAAGGTCACTCACAGGCAGAGGAGCAGAGGGGCAGGAAGATCTTTCCCTGCCTACTGCCTTGTCTGGATTTTCCTGGGAGCTGGGGGCTCTTGGCACCCCCGGGCACTGCCCAGGG